AATCCGTTTATCTGGTAGGCCTTTAAGCGTTGTCATACTTAAGACATTGATATTCCATTCAATAGAAATGCGTGTAGAACAACGCTTTTGTAGCTATGGTCAAATGAGCGTAAACCTTAAACACTACCCTCAGACCCTACAGGAGAACCGCAACTTACTTTCTAAAAGAAAACTGTTCAAATTAAAATATAATGTTTATACTACCCTCTTTATAAGTTTTCTTTTTAAAAAAAATGTTTCTAGTTGTGCATGTGTTCAAAAAAATATTTCAAAACATAAAGACTTCGGAAACAATCTATTAAATTTGTCTTGAGAACTAGAAAATCTGCACTTTAAACACCAAATACATTACATTACTTACATCTTCAGTTGTCGCTTCAAATGACAAAGAAACTGTTAGCAGTAGACCAATGCACAAGAGAAGAACGGACAATTTCATTGTGTTGCCTGTAATAAATTACTGATGTTATATATATATATATATATATATATATATATATATATATATATATATATATATATATATATATATATATATATATATATATATATATATATATATTTATATATATATATATATATATATATATATATATATATATATATATATATATATATATATATATATATATATACAGAGAGAGAGAGAGAGAGAGAGAGAGAGAGTTACACTTACTTTGCAAATAAATATTTGATTGGACATGATTCTAGTTAGCTTTTATAGATATCCCATAATCCCCTTATTAATATTAATTAATACTTAACAAATAGAAAGATATCAAAATGTCGTTATATTTTGTATTGTGTTACGCACACCATAATAATATGAAAACCGTGCATACATGTGTCTTTGATATTATAATTTCGGACATACATACACACGAACATATATTTAAATATATATATATATATATATATATATATATATATATATATATATATATATATATATATATATATATATATATATATAATACCTGTTCCCGTGTTGCCCATGGCACATGGCGCAGCTGAAGCTAAGATAATGTGGTCAGCGCTATGGCTGGCCGTATTTGTTTCCCTAACGTGAGTTAGGTACCCAACGGAGCTGGTTAAACTCAGTGACGTCCTTCTGATTTCAACCCACATTGAAATTCGAGACTTTAGGGTATATAGTCTAGCGCTCTGCTCAAATTCTTTTCGGGCCAGAAATTATCGTGTTCAAACCGCTTTCATCTCGTTTTAAATCCACCTATAATTGAAGTGCAGCTTTATATCCTGTAGCTCAGCCAAAATGATATGAAACTAGATAGCTTAATTTGTGTAGTGGTTTCCCGTGTTGGTTTTATTTTTAATTTTTTTTTTGTATTAAAGGCCTACATTTTAATTTTCAATAAATTTCTTTGTATTAGTATGTAATTTGGTGGAATACATTACGGTTTAAGGGGCGTTCATAAATAACATCATTTTTTTAAGAAGGTGGGACTTAAGTGGCATCAGAGATGTTCCTCCCACCCCAGTTGTAACAATATGTAGCCCCAAATTACAAATTTTCACAATATCCACGCCCAGTTATGCATCGTTACAATTTGCCCCCCTCCCTCCGTTACATATTATCATAATGTGTCGTCCCACCCCTTTTCACATTGTTAAGATCATCGCGCCCGCAAATAATACATCCTAACAAAATGAAACACCCTCCAGCTATACATCGTCACAATGTATCTCCCCCCCCCCCCTTCGCACTTTACACCTCTATCTGCATTGATTACAACTGAAACACGTTCTATCAAATATGAAAAAAAAAATTGTTACACTTTTTTTATTGCAAGAGCTGGACATCACACTTCCTGAACCATCACCCTATCCCCATTAAACATCTTCCACCCATCCCCCACTTAGCGTAGCGAGGGGGGGGGGGGGGCGAGGGGTGCGGATCGTACCGGGTGGCACCATTTAGGGGGGGTGACACCAAGGCAAAATATAACAAAATATATAGAGAAAAATGATAATTCCACTTAATTGATTAATTCGAGTGTTAAAAAGTCTTTTAAGAGCAGATTTGACAAATCCCGACAGGGGTGGAAAGGGGAGGGGTGTAAATCGAAAGTTTGAGGGGGGGGGGGACGCAAATCGAAAGTTTGAGGGGCGGGGGGGTGCAAATCGAACGTTTGCGGGGGGGATGCAAATCGAAAATTGAGTTTGTCCCCGGAAGGGTCGCTACGCCTCTAGGGTTGACACCATTAATTGCCACCCCGGGTGACACACGACCTCGCTACGCCACTGCCCCAACGCTTCCCCTTGGTGAGTAGCGCATTGAACAACATAAATATTGATTTTCTATGTGAAGCGCGACAACTCTATTAATATTTTCGATAACATCGACCAAGCTTGGTTACTTACTCTTATGAGAGGATAATCTCAATATAGGATTGGGGTATGTCACGCCCCCCCCCCTCCCCATTACACTGTCAATATAGAACGCAATATTAAAATTAAATACGAAATATATATTTTAATCACCTGCCACCCACCGTATCATACATGGGTGGGTGAGGGCAATGGTTTTTATGAGGTAATACAATCGACCCAGCAACTAGAGGACCCATCAACTAGAGGACCCATCAGCTAGAGGACACATCAGCTAGAGGACCCGTCAATTAGAGGACCCATCAACTAGAGGACCCATCAACTAGAGGACCCAGCAACTAGAGGACCCGTCAACTAGAGGACCCATCAAATAGAGGACTCATTAACTAGAGGACCCATCAATTAGAGGACCTGTCAACTAGAGGACCCATCAACTAGAGGACCCATCAACTAGAGGACCCAGCAACTAGAGGACCCAGCAACTAGAGGACCCATCAACTAGAGGACCCATCAACTAGAGGACCCGTCAACTAGAGGACCCAGCAACTAGAGGACCCATCAACTAGAGGACCCATCAACTATAGGACCCATCAACTAGAGGACCCGTCAACTAGAAGACCCATCAACTAGAGGACACATCAACTAGAGGACCCAACAACTAGAGGACCCGTCAACTAGAGGACCATTCAACTAGAGGACCAATCAACTAGAGGACCCATCAACTAGAGGACTCTTCAACAAGATGATCAGACACGAATAGTGTCATGTAAGTGCTTAATTAGCGTGTTTGTGTGCACAGTAAACAAAAACAACGTATTACCAACCATCAACCACGACTAATCCAATATCTCACAACGAAACAACCAACGTCCACCAACCAACGAACCGCAACTAACACCACAAACCGACAACCAACTGTCGATTAAAAGCAAACGAACTACTACTAACACTATTAACCAACAACCAAACAACGAACCACAACTAACACCACAAACCGACAACCAACTGTCGATTAAAAGCAAACGAACTACAACTAACACCATTAACCAACCACCAAACAACGAACCACAACTAACACCACTAACCGACAACCGACCAACATAATACAACTACCCTTCTAACCCACTTACAGCCAATCACCAATGAGCCAGTTAATTGGCTAGCAACAGGAGACGCAAAGAAACCAGCAACTTAACCTGCTAGTCAGAACCCAACCTGTAGCCATCCCGATAGCCGGCAACCAACCAGCATCTAAACCAATAGTCCAGTGTCAACCCGGAAGTAGTAATTTATTACTTCTGAAACTGAATTTATAAAGTACTAATAATACTCCGCACTATTATACACATATTTTTCTCCATTCACTTGGTGAGCAATTTTTCTTCCGACGAGATTCTATTCTATTTTAAAAAGTTTTAGTGATTAAAAATGGATTAAAAATCATGGCTATATCCCGTGTTATGTAAGAATGTTCGAGAGAGTTTAGGGGAGATCACTACCTGTTTATTTTTTTCAGTACTTGAAATTTTTTGGGCTTATAAAATATTAGAGTTGCATGACTAAAAACCATTGCGCACCTAATGAATATGATAACGCGCGTATAATAATGGGGAATAGTTTGATGAGACCGCCTACTAATTTGGACACAATTTTGATAAATTAATAAAAAATCAATTAGGCATCCAATTAAGTCAAGTTTAAAATCATATTGCATTTATTTCATGTCTTGACCAACGTGCTAACTTTGAAACGAATCTGTCAGTTAAAAGTGCCTGAAATTTCGTTCGGGCGATTTGATCTAAAGAGACAGACTGACGATAGACTGACGACATATAGAGGAGAAAGTTAAATAAAAGCTGGCAATAAATAAAACATGATTTGTAATATTATAGACTAAAATCGAACATTAATTCCTGGATCACCACATAACATACATTATCAGCGGGTATTTAATTAACTAATTATGTAAGCGAAATCTAATAAATCTAACAGTCCTATCCTATATGTGGGTGATTTGCACAGTATTTGTGATCGAAAAGAATTATGTATCAAAGATCAAAACATCCCTGTTTTAAGTTTGTAATAAAGCATTAAAACTATTTAGTATGACAATACGTGAAGCCTTCGGTTGTGTAGAGGTATTTTAATGCATATAGTCTTTACTTGAAAAATGCATAGTATTGTTTAGTTGTGTTAGGCATTTAAAAAGACCATGTCAGTTTTTAATATTATATCCGCGACTTTTTGAAAAGTAATATCTATTGTTCACTGATTAGGTTTAGAATATTGCATTATACATTGTTAGGTGTTATCAGATCCTTATAGAGTCCCTCATGAATACTTGACGTGAATTACTGAAGCAGAAACGGGTATAAATACATATTTGTTAAGTGCTCATACAGTCTAAAGATAAAAAACAAAACACTATGTATGTTCAAATGAGAACTCAGTATATATATATATCAATATGTATAAATATATATATATATATATATATATATATATATATATATATATATATATATATATATATATATATAATATATATATATATATATATATATATATATATATATATATATATATATATATATATATATATATATATATATATGCCATGTTTCGTTTGAATCTTAACTTGTAATAACAATTCCACAATATTTGAACAGATATTTATTCGGAAGTGTGAAAGACCTTACCATGAAAACCATCACCATTTTTCTGTGCATTGGTCTCCTGTTGGCTTTTTCTGCAGCTTTAGAGGCAGAAGTTCAGGATGTAAGTCTGTTACTATTATACTGATATTTTGTTTCATTAATGTGGTACATTAAAATGTATAATAGAGTATTTTAACAGCTACTAGCTACACAGTCTTAGCTTAGTTCATCAGTTTTTCAAAAATATTATAACATTTCTCACATAACTTTTAACGAAATTCTAATACGATTATTTTTACAATTTCGAGATTTATTTTTGACGGCTAAAGAATATATTTACATTGAGACACTTTGGTAGTGTAAAATATGCGAATACATTTACATGTTTATATGTTTTAATCTTGAAACTTTGATTTTCCAACTGTTGATAAATTAATTCTACAACAGGGAAAACGGGTGTTACCCCGAGGAGAGATGAAATACGTGTATCCGTCGTTTTATGCTAGGGACAAGGACAGTGATGACCCCACTGTTGATGGTAGGATAGTTCGTTCCCCAGGATTTAAATTCAATGGATTGGATACATTAAAATATTAAATGAGTTTTCTTGTTGTTTGTTTAATTTATTTTTAATTAATAAACTTCAATTTTGAAAAAAATAAAACGCGAAACACTGCTTGAAATGGTAAAACAACTTGCACGGATGCTAAGCGTTGAAATAATTATGCAATACACGTATAACCGACTAGATCTACAAAAGAATATACCGGCAGATGATTTTGTTAGCTGAGATAGCAACACTCGCTAATTGTTTTGTTCATGTACCACGATAGTTCATCCAGGGAGAAAAGCAGGCCGATGTTCACGTCCAGAGGCGTAACGACCCCTCCCGGCGCCTAGGGACACTTTCAATTTGGCGCCACACCACCCCCACCCACCCACCCCCATATATTTGTTTTATATTTATTATTCAAAACTGCAGCTAAAATGAGCTTTTAATTTTTTTCAACCCATTTGGCGCCCCTTGGGTTGGCGCCCGGGTAACTCCCCCCCCCCCCCTTCGTCGCTACGCCTCTGTTTATGTCACCACACGGCACATCAATTGTTGACTTGATATACTCAATAAAACAAGGAAGAATGGTATATAAAGCAACAGCAGACATAGTAATAGACACATTATTTTTAAAAAAAAATAGGTGTGTGTGATGGTAGAGCTGGAATCGATTTGAATTTATCTTATCCGAGCCTGAGCAATCACATTTTCTATAAGATAGGCCAACCACTCATGTACAAACTGTGATCATTTAAGTCTGATCTATACTCTTGTTCCCTGATTAGAACATGTCTCTAACATACATGACCAGAGTAATTGCCGATAGGGATTGACTTTCAATTCAGTTGTAAATATAAACATGTTTGGTTGTCTTTTCATTGTATAAAGTATTTTTTGGATAAAATATATTATCTTCGTTTGTGCCATAAACTGCTTCAATACAAACTGAAGTTAAACCAATAGTCAGTTATAAAGCCAGAAAATTGTCGTGTTCTAATTAAGATACCTATACAAATAAAGAGGGAGTGAGCAAGGTAAAGTAAAATAAAAATGGTAGCTGCAGTGAGGTTGATACAATAAGTAATAAAACAGATAGTGTTAGTTACCTCACAAGTTAAAGACAGTTAAGTCAAGTTTAATATCAAATTGGACGTTTCGAACGAGTTTTTTTCTTTTGGATATCGTGGCATTTAAACAAGACGTGTTTTCACTGTCGAGCTAAGTCCAAAATTGTGTTACTGTTTGTCTTTATTTGTCTAATCTGTAATCACACTGTTGTGTGCTGACGAAGACCTTGGGTTGAAACGTCCGTAGTATTTGTAACTGTCTGTAACTTGTGAGGTAACTAACGCTAGGTATAGTATAAATGTTAATGTTGAAGTTGTATTCACCGTAGGGATTATGTATCGCTATTCAAACCCTAAGCTTAGCTAGATAGTTCACCTAGTAATATCAATTGCAACGAATATGACAGGGCAGATAGATTGTGATATAGTTTGATATACATTGATAACTCAACATTTTAATAACAAAGCAGCTAATCTAAAAATCATTTATGAATTAATGTTGATTTTTTTTACCGTGTACATAAATCCAATTAGTTGATTTGTGTCTGATTAATCAATTAGATGAACCCTGCATAATTGTGTAAAATTACACTTACCTCATGCGGGTGGTACGTGCGGTGTGTAATTTATGAAGGTACCTCAACACGTGACAGTGTACACATTTCGAGTGTGACTCGTGTTTAGTAGATGTTTGACAAAGTTAAAAATGTGTTATTGTAAGTAGAGTGAGTAAAACATAATTTTTAAGGTCCGATATTATCGGCTTAGTACCGACAAAAAAAAGTGTTATTGTAAGTGGAGTTAGTAAAATATATTTTTTAAGGTCCGATATCCTCGGCATGGAACCCATTGGTTGGATCGTTGTGTTAGCGGTGATGGGTGTCACAGTATGGGGGGAGGGGGGTCGTCGTAGTCGAGTCGGTAAAGCTCATGGTTGCTAACATTCGATAAGTCTCGAGTTCAAACCCTCTGGCAGATAAGGCTCAATGTGTTATAACACTAAAAATTCAGAACGAAGAAAAAGAAGTCACAATATGAAATTGACTTGGGGTGACAGTGCGTCTGTGTGACATTGTGGATGGGAGACACAATGTGTCAAAGAATTTGAATGTCAGTACAATAGTAGATCATAAGGTATGTTGTAAAAATATTACCTGCAATCTTTATTTAAATATTTTTTGCATGTGCTATGTTACGGTTTGTTTCCCTTTATCTTATCAGTATAGAGTATAGAGAAAGTTGTTAAAGTCTGCAAACAGTCTAACTAGAGATTTTGACTATTCTCGACCTTTTATAACACCTACATTTGGAAAAAAACTTAACTTTGCAATGTTTTCTGCATGTCTGTGTTTCTCAAGTTCCTCTAAAGCTGGTGACTTGCATGCCGTTTAAATTAGATAAACAAACAAAATGTCACTTATATGTATAACATAGAATGCGCAGGTTTCAAATTTTGAACGATTTCATTATTCCGGAAGTGATACTTTACTTGATTTCCGTGAAAATACGATAACTTGGGTACTGTTTCATTTAGGTATACGAATTTGTAGGTATATGTGCTTATATGTTATGCACAGAAAACTTTAAATTTTAAACTTACCTCCAATAAACAGAAGTGGTGCTTTACTCTATTATTTATTTTCTAAAATACCGATAATAATAGTACATTTCAAGTAGCTGGATGGAATTTAATACACAAGTGTAAGATCTTGATCTTTTGATTATGTAAAATCCTAAGTAACCGAAGTAGTACTCTACGTTATTCCGATATTTCAAATGGACAAAATAATATTAATATCTTGAAGTTTTCGTCAGGGATGGAAAATTGCGAGCAAAATTTCGACCATTACAACTGGACTATTTTATGTTTATGTTTCACGTAGTTCAAAACTTGATGTTTAATTACATTTTAATGTTAATTAATATATATATTTTATGAAGTACTAATTTTCCTCTCTCTTGTACTTACATAGTTTGCATGCATTTAGTGAGCAATCCTCTCTAACTTTGTCGTATACGAAGTATAGAGGAAGTATTGCCCGTGCAAAAATTCGATATCGACGTTTAACAACTCCCTGAGTTGAAAAAACTTAGTGTTGCCATTGTGTAGGCTATAAAATTTTATATATATGTAAGTGTGTGTCTGTGTGGGTGTGTGCCTGTAAACACGTTGAGTACCGTTACAGCTAGATTGATGAAATGTAATATATTATATAAATTTTGTAGTTCTGTATCAACTTTTCAGCGATTTCCTGTAACCTGAAAGGAGCTTATTCTGCTTTTGGGTTTTCAAAAGTCTGACACTTGAGTACTGTTACAGAAAGATAAACGAATTTTTACATATAATTAAGAAGAAATAATGTGTTGCCTTCTGTCGAATTTTTAGTAATTTCCGTTTACCGGAAATAGTAATTTACGCTATTTCGGATTTCACAAAAAAAACGCATACGAATTTTATGGTACTAATATTCCGCACTATTATACACACATTGTTTGCTATTCACTTGCTATGCATTTTTTTTTTCTACGCGATTCTATTCTATTTTAAAAAGTTGAAGTAATTTAAAACTGACTAAAAATCATGTCTATATCCCGGGACGCCAACCCCAGTAGCGTTATCCTAATATATAATTCCCCATGTGCGCACATCTCTCTCTCTCTCTCTCTTTCTCTCTCTGTCTGTCCGCAAAATATTGTCGCCGGACATCACGTCAGAAACGGCAGCGATATATGGAGAACTTTATACGGACTTTTGTTGAAAATAATATGTTAGATGTTTTAAATGTAAACCACAATTTTATTTAAAGAATAAAAATAAAAATTAAAGGCGTATTCGAATGTAGAGAAACAGTATTATTTATGCAACCGGAAAAGCAATAATATATGTGAAAAAGAACGCATAAAACTGTGACGTCACTATTGCTTATACATTAACTAATGACGTCATCTGCCGTGTTTAGAATAAAAAGAAATGAACTATTTCATTCAAATTTGATTTAGATCTACGTACACTATGAAATGTATACAATACAATTTTTCCGGCCTAAACTCATAAAATGTATTATATTTATTTGGATTCTAGATCTAGATATTATAGATTCATCTATTCAAATAATACATTTCTATACTAAAGTATTTCAGGCCTTAATTACTTTATTGAAATCTTTGTTTATCTATGCAATTTGCTAATCTCTATAATATATAAAGCAAAGTTGTCGGGTGCCCATAGGGCACTTCCCGGCGCCGCAGGCGCTTCAAATTTGGCAGGATCTTGCCTTGGGGCGACAGAACACGGGGGCCGGTTGGCCGAAAAGTCTACGATGAGGGGGTCAAAACTGACCTCGACTGACCGGTACCTTATATGAGCTTTAAATCGAAAAAAAATGTCCACGGAGGAACCTCTTCATAACTCCTGAGGTCGTAGACCGACCCTCGGGCGAATTAATTAAGCATTCAAATTCTCAATGTTTTCGAAAGCCTAAGCAAAGCTGGGCAGCATGCCTAGTATAAGAATATTCGAGAAAGTTTAGGGGAGATCACTCCCGATCCATTTTCCAAGTGATTCTTATAAAAAATAAGAATTAACAAAAGAAATTAATGGAAACTTTCTTTACCCAGTATGGTACTGGAAGTACTATCCCACATTCTGTTATATAGGACTACATGAGGGTGCTTGTCTAGAATATGTTGTCGTTTGATATATTTTCTAATAATATTAGATTTATTATGCAGCATATTGTCTACTATTTTGTCATGTGATGCATTATCTAATTTACTTCAAGGGATAAGTTATTTAACATCTTAGTATATGAAAATTAATTTAATAGTTCGTAATGTGATGTTTTAAAATAATTTCATGTCTTGCGATTATTTAATTAATTGTATGCATATTTTCAAAGTATGCAGCCATGTTAATGTAATACTTGATTCGTTTATCCTGTGAATTATAGTAAATTTAACACATTATTCTATACATTATT